TGTGTTTATTGTTAGTTTTTTAAGTTTTTTTAAATATCTGTTTATATTTTGTGTTTCCATTGCATTGTATTGCGTACAAATCATTTTTCGCAAAATATCATATTTGGGGTGATGTGCAACACTTTTTTGGGGTGGACGTAACTATTTTTTACGTGCCATAACTACGTTTCACATGATGAATAAAAAATTCTTAGTTATTTTCCTTTAATTATATTCCTTAATTCAATTATTGATAAATAAAAATTTAAACAAAAAAAGTTTTTCTTCTTTGGTGAAATCTCCACTTTCTAGAGGTCAACTATACCTTAGTAAATTTTTTTTGGCAGATTTCGATTAGTTTGCATTGAAAAAGCCTAAAATTAATAATTAAAGAGATTTTCATCGATATTTATGCATTACATACCTAAATTTTACTGGTGTTGCACATCACCACAACTTTTTTGGAAAATGCAAAAACAGACGTTTTTAAAAAAGCGAAAAATTTTTAGGAAAAATTTAAAATTTTGAAAATCTAATAATGCAGAAATATTCTATTATAGAGCCTCTAAGTCATTCAATTTTGAAATATTTAAAAATCTAATTATTTGACATGTTTTTCGTCCAACGAAAAAAAACGTTGCACATCACCCCACAACACCCTATTATTTAACATTTTTAAAATTTATTTTTAGGATTCTCTCCATTATTTGACACAATGTTCGTAATATATTTCTATGGCGTTGCAAAACTCGGAGCGTTTTAGTATTAAAAGAATAACGTCTGATGATGAAAAGAAAAAAAGAAAAGCACCAAGAAAAAAAAGGATCCTGCAACGAATTTGAAGCACAATGAACAGGTTTTTGCTCCATTTAAACCTGTCGTATAAAGTTTTATATTTGTTTAAACATTTGTTTTAAAAAAATTTTATTTAAATTTCATCTTTTAAAATAATTTTTCATATTAATAATTGATTTTTGATATTAATTAAATACAATTTTAAATTAAAAAAAATGTATTTATTTATTTCATTGTATTAAAAATAAATATTATTATCTATAAAAATTTGTTACATGTTATTTTCATATTAATTAATTTCCTTTTTTTTGTTTGGTTCTAGTTAAACATATAAAATTTGTATTATAGTTTCCTTTTTTTCAAATTTTAAATTGAATACATTTATTTACTTTTTTTTAATTAATTGAAAATTAGTTTTCATAATATCATAATAACATTTCATCATTTCTATTATTAATTCAATTTTATTTTTAAATTATTAGTTGTAAATTTGATCATTTTCAATCAAATTTTTGTATTTTTCCCGAAATATGTGTGTAGTATGTTTTTAAATAACTATTATTCATTAAGAAGACAATTTAAAATGTTTAAATTTTAATTATAATTTTTAAATAATTTTATTAATTAAAGAATGAATTATTTAAAGTAACTTTTAATTTAGTTTTCATTCTATTGTTACGTCAAAAATAACAAGAAACCTTTTTAAATATACCTATCGTTCCTCGTTTTAAATTAGTTTCAGGAATGAATCTAATTTGGGATGAGGATAAGTCAATGAGCCTACTAAATGTATTGAGAGAATAATTTATTTAAAAACCAACAAGAAAGAAAAGTATTGACAATAATACAATGAGTATAAAATAATAAATCTTACTGTCCTCTTGTTTACACTAATGAGATAGTGTATTGTATTCCGAAAATATCTGCTTTCTTCCAGACGGTTGTCGCCTCTTGAGCAAATTTCGATGGTTCGAAATTTGGAATGTGTTGTTTCAATATTAGATGTTCGTTGATGGTTGAGATTATTTCCAATTTAATAAATTTGGAAATTGTTTAAAATTTATATTTTGCAAATTGGTGGTTGATTTGTTTTGCAAAAGGTTGATTTACAGTTCACTTCAAATTTAACACTTGGGGATATATTGTTCACTTTCGAACAATGCACTTTGAAAAGAATACTTGGAGATATACTGTTCACTTTCAAAGATGTACTTTGAATTCACTTGTAAATTATGTGATGTGCTAACGTTGACTGAACGATGTAAACTGGTTGATTCCCAAAAAATTACTCTCTCTCTCTTGTACTGAACGATGTGTTCAGGTTGATTTCTAAATAGTTACTCTCTAGTCGAACAGAACTGCTACCCCTTTTTATATAAAAATTTCCTCATTATCCTAATACATAGCGAGTCGATACGAGTGGAAATGCTTAATCTTAGATTCCACTTTTTAAGTCGCAACGTTTGTTTGAATCCTCCGCATCGCCGATAGGAAATTCCCTTCTTTAGAGGTCACAACGTTTGTTTAAATCTTCCGCAACGCCGATAGGAAATTTCCTTCTTTAGAGGTCACAATGTTTGTTTTTAATCCTCTGCAGCCATGCGTAACTAATATGATTCTCCCTAATCGTTATTCCTTTGACATTACTTTGAAATATTATTCTTTCCTGGATTCGTTTTTAAGAAATACATAATGTAATTACAATATTGTTAGAAAATATACTGAATATAATGCAAACTTAAAACCTAAGAATTACAAATACTGAATATAATATAATGATAAGATACAATATTTAAATATAAGATACATGCATTAAAAATAAAGATGAAATACAATATATAGAAATTAAATACATAAGTAATAATATATAGTTAAAATAGAAATATTAATAAGAAGTTACGGACGTAACACTATACACTTATAATTTCTTAAAATTCCTTTTTGGAACATCATTATTATTGTAATGATATAATTTTTATTAACGTCACAATTTTTATTAATGTAAACATACTTAATGTCAATTTTTAAAATGAATGAATTTATTCTTTTTTTATTTTCATTCAATTTTGTGTAACAAAAATTACTTGTACATTTAATTTAAATTATTTTATTTTTAATATACTACAGATGTAAAAAAAACTTATAACACTTTGTCATTCAAAATGTCATTTTGAACAAACTATTCATTAAATATTTTATTGGTAATTATAAAAATATTGCAATTTAATTAAATTTTCATTTACATGATTTCCACGAAAATTTAATTTTGCTATTCCTTGATTTCCATACAAAATTTTGACTTTCTCCCTTACCCTGAATAATATACTGATTCACTCCAAAAATTATTGGATACCTGAAAAAAAGGTACTACATATATTAAAAAATTTCATTAATTGTATAATTATTCGACAACATAAATAATTTCTTTTTAATTAAATACTTAATCATTATTATTTTTCTATAAGAATTAAGGATTTTAATTCAAACATTACGAAATAAAATAACATAAAAAATTCTTATAAAACATGAAGAAATCAATCACATCAAGTATTAAAGTCGTGTCAATTGATTTCTTAACATTTTATAATAAACATAAATTACATTGTTTTCTGTTATTATGTAATTTTTCTATCTTATTTATATCCTTTTAATACAAATTTTCTTGTCTTTCATGGATTGGATTGGATTCTCGGATTTTGTAATAAAAATTGATTAAAAAATGAATTACCGAATAATCGATTTATTTATGAAAATAATTAAATTATTGCAACAAATTTTATTACAATTTTTTCAAATAATTGAATTTTTTTGAGAAAATTTACTACTTTTTAAAAATAATTGAATTCTTGCGAAAGATTTTATTAGGATTTTTGTAAATAATAAAAATTTTTTGAAGAATTTTAATTCCTACTGCACATTAATAATGATTAAATATTTATTTTAAAAAGAAATTATTGTTTTTTTTGAAAAATTTTACAATTAATGAAATATGTAAATATAAATGTAAAAGAATATTTTTTTGAGTTTCTAATAATTCTTAGAGTGAATCAGAATATTTTTTAGGGTCAGGGAAAAAGTGAGAATTTTGTCTTGAAATCAGGGAAAAATAAAATTAATTGTAACGCGCTCCCAAGAAAGGTTCCTAAGAAGCAAATGAATTATATAAGCTCGCAACTACAATGTTTATGGAAATGTCGCACGCACGCGCTACACGAAGATCGCTTTTGGATTGCTTTGTTTAGTAAATAACAAGACAAATTTTGAAAATAATTTGTTTCTAAAAAAAACATTTTTGAATATCAAGGTCAGTTTTTAAAAATGGTTTTATCACAAAATATTTAGAATTGAAAATTATAGGTACTAAAAATATAGATAATCAAAATTAATTATAATTACAATTTGTACATCAGGTAAACCTATTAATATACATTGTTGTAAATATATTTTAGAAATTTTTTTAAAAAACTAAAATATGAAATACTTATTTTTGTAATTTTGAAAGGTTTTTAATTAATTTTAATTTTATTATAATTAAAATAATATACATATAAATTATTGATTAATAAAGTAATAAGTAATAGTATAATTAATTTTAAATTAATTTATTAAAAGAAAGATAAATTATAATATATTTTCCAAAACTGACAAATACCTAACTGACATATGTTGTAACTGAAACTCACTATACCTAGGTTAAACTTATTGAATATATTCTGTCGTTTTGCGCAAAGTGCCCGTTGCGCACTCCAATTTTCATTTAGAGTTAGGGGATTTTTCAGGCACAACAAGCAGTGATTGTTACTGTTTGGTAACACTAGAAATCTTTTTCAAAATAATGTGATTTTCTTAAAATGTTCAGAACCATTATTAATTTTTTCAGACTCTGCCTTGATCTTACCATTAGTATATCATATTTCTACTATACTGTATCTAATTTAAATCTTTCTTTTTAAGTTCAGGAATAATTCTAGAATATTTTCAATTATTTCACTTACAGTAAAAGTATTATTGTCGTCTTTTTCTCATATCCACCGTTCTTGAACTAATTCAGGAATGTTTCCTGAATAAATTTTTTCCATGTAAATATTATAAAAATTATCTTTTAATTTTCTGATTAAATGACAATAATATTGTATTTTTATAAGTTTATTACTTATTTATAGTTATTGATATCTTACCTACATATTATTTTTCAAAGCCTTCGATATCGGTTATAGTATAGGGTGATGTGGGGTGATGTGAAACATGGGGGATGTGCAACACCGCCGATTTCTGATCTACAGTTCGACATTGAACAGATCCAAGTATTGCCATTTGTTTGTTTTCTTAGTAACTTATTGTTTTTGATATATAATAACTCACGAGACAGTTCGCAGCTAGGTTTGCTGTACGTAAGTTGACTTAAATTTCTCGAGAAGGAAATATTTCTCGCGCTTTACATTTCTAGTCGTTTCTTGAAGGGTTTTAATTTATTTTATAGATAAGAATGTGTTTATTGCTGGTTTTTTAAGTGCTTTTAAATATCTGTTTATATTTTGTGCTTTCATTACATTGTATTGCGTAAAAATCATTTTTCGCAAAATATCATATTTGGCGTGATGTGCAACACTTTTTTGGGGTGGACGTAACTACTTTTTACGTGCCATAACTGCGATTCACATAATGAATAAAAATTTTTTAGTTATTTTCCTTTAATTATATTCCTTATTCAATTATTAATAAATAAAAAATTAAACAAAAAAAAAATTTTTTTTCTTTGGTGAAATCTCAACTTTTTAGAGGTCAACTATACCTTAGTAAATTTTTTTTGGCAGATTTCGATTAGTTTGCATTAAAAAGCCTAAAATTAATAATTAAAGAGATTTTCATCGATATTTATATGCATTACATACCTAAATTTTACTGGTGTTGCACATCACCCCAACTTTTTTGGAAAATGCAAAAACAGTCGTTTTTAAAAAAGCGAAAAATTTGTAGGAAAAATTTAAAATTTTGAAAATCTAATAATGCAGAAATATTCTATTGTAATGCCTCTAAGTCATTCAATTTTGAAATATTTAAAAATTTAATTATTTGACATGTTTTTCGTCTAACGAAAAAAAACGTTGCACATCATCCTATATAAAATCGCTTTTATTTTTCTTTACTGTTGAGGTTTGCTTTATGAATATATCAAAATATTAAAAATTTATTTTATTTTTGAATTTGAAATTAAGTTAGTCACGTTATTATAAATTTTGTGTAATCCCCCGTGATCTGTTAAAACAAATATTTCATTGTGATGCACATAATATATTATATACTATAATAATTGATATCGAAAGCTCTGTACAACAGACATTATACAGAGTTAGCTCAGTACAGAAAATTCTGTCCCATGCCCGGAAACTCCAGCTCTGTACAAAAACGCTTGTACACCTCGCGATCTGTACAAAAATGGCTATAGAGTAGAACGGGGTGAAATAGCCACATTTTTACATTTTAATTTATAAAATCTGAATTTAAAATTTTTTTCTCAAATTTCCAATTGGCATTGAAAGTTTAGTTATGAAGCTTAAATATTCTTGACGGAAATATTTTTTATCCCATGAAAGGACTAAGTTATAAGAGTTTTACGAAATCTCTGCAAATGGCTTTTTTGTACCACCTGGTGGGGGGAGAAAGCCACCTCGCGATTTTATCAAAATATGTTATTAATTTTGGTGTTTTTATAGTTTTCCTTTATTTACATGACAAATAATCTTATTTTTAAAATATTTTAATAAATTTTAAAGAGCTTTTATCAAGAAAAATTGAATGTTATGTTAAGTTTACCTGTTTTCGATTTACACTGCCAAGTTTTTGTACCTTTTTTTAAAGTCTTCCTTAAATTTCACCACAGATGCCATATTTTGTTGCAACCGTTATTTCATTGTTTATTTTTTAACGAACTTTACTCTATTTTTTCGTCGTGTTTAATTAATTTTATTAAGTAAACACGCGAAAATTTTGTAAAATTAGAAGGTTAGTTGACGTAGAAAACAAATGAATTTCACATAATATTCAATGGATTTTTGTCCCTGCCTTTTTCACCCCTAAAACCAGTTTTTCTAAAAGCTAAAATAAATTTTAAATTCAGTTCAATTTCCAAAAATTAACATTGTATACGTTTTGAGTATAGTTTTCTCCTTACGTACAAACATTTACTTTTATTACCCGTTCACTTAAACAGGTTGTAATATGTTCAAAAAGTTCATCGAAATATTATACGCAGAGCAACTCAAAAATTAAAATTACAATAAAAATTATATTAATATAGGTACAACATCCAAACTAGTATCAAAAGTTACGTATTAACTGATAGTATTTATATTCTAAATCGCTGATAAATCGGTTTAATAGTTTTCAAGTAAAAGTCAAATGGCTTTTTTGCACCATGGCTATTTTACCCCGTTCTACTCTACATTCCGCGTTATGCACAATTTCGGGCTTTGTACGTAACATTGGAAAATTTCACGAAATGGAGACTCGAAAACTCTCAAGTAATAAGTTTCAGTCGAAATAATTCAATTTTAAAAAATTTGTTCACCATATTGGATCTGATACTTTTCATTTTGAAAATGCATAGAAACTTGATTTGTCAAAAAAGATTTTTTGTAACAGTAATATCATACAACCCAATTTGTCTCCATTTCATGAATTCTCTCATATATTCAAATTAAGAATCTGAAAATTAATTATGTTCATTAAAATTAATTAGGCGCACATAGCATTTTATGCTGTATTCTCAGCTTCGTCTTCATCAGCAATTAGGGTGAAAGCTTTCCAAGAAATTATAAAAGTATGCCCTTTTGATAATCTGAAATTAATTGTTGGCCCATTTTGTTTGAAAATGCTAAGGGACGTAAGAAGCGTTTTTCAAGAAATTGAATATACGAGCTCCTGGGTCCAATTTATTGAGGTAATTTTAATATCTGTATTAATAAAATATTAAAGTCAGAAATGACTGTACGTTGTTTAGATTTAAAAACTTTTTGTGTAATATATCGTTTTAAGAATGTTCGAACAAAAAAAAACCTTTAAAAAAGGCTATAAGAACTTATCCTTTATCTGAAATGGATCATTATCAAAATTGAGACAGTTATCACAATATTTAAAAAATCATCTGGAATCTTGAATGATTGTACTTTTATTTTCGTCCAATAAATTTAATATTTATTTATAAATATAATGATAGGAGCCGGTTGAAGCTAGCAGTCGCGCTCAGCACCCTCCCATAGGCGTTTTGTTTACAAAACTAGGTGCTAGCTATTGTTTATAACAATTTTGTTTGTTTAATTTTCAAAAATTCATCACTGATGTATAAACTACAATTCTCTAAAGTTGCATCGTTTTCTTACCCCTCAGATTTTTTTTATTTCAAATTTACTCAAAAAAATCTATGGGAGGGTGCTGAGCGCGACTGCTAGCTTCAGCCGGCTGATTTACATTTAACGTTTAATTGTGAGATTTATTACACACTCTTTTTTAACAAAAATCTGGTCATGGCCATTTTCTTTTTAGTAGTGAATAAAAGAAACAAGAAGGAAGCACTCTATGCGCCCTCTATATTTTTCATACTTCCGTTCCGCGCATTTTAAATAATATAATATCAAACAAACTTTCTTGCTCGAACATCCTTAAGTAGTATCATGAAGTAGTTTAAGGAGACCAAAAGACTATGTCTATGTAAATTTCGTATTAAAAGTGAAACAGATTTCGGTACCTACACATAGAAAAATGGTGCTGAGTTTCTGGTAAAAATTCCTATAGAATAAAAATAATTCTACTTTTATATTAAAAATTACTATTTATTGTAAAATAAATGTACTTCGCATAAAGTAAATATTACTATTTCTGGTAGTAAAAATTACTAATAGTAATTGAGGGCTCAATGTCGATCGAAGAACCGACTCTTCGCTCGGCTACACGGCTTCATGCCAGTCAATCGCACAAAATTGTGGAAAAATAAAAACTCTAAATTTTAATTTCTAAAATATACTAAATTATAGGAAATAAAGAGGCGCATCTATTTTTCCTTTGAGATTTTTTTATAAAATGGATATTTTACGAAATAGTTACAAAAAACTGCAAAATTTTATTTCTCAAATTTCATTGAATTTTGAAACATAAATCGTCGTATCTTTGACAAATATTAATCAAATCCCTTCATATTTGGAATTTAAATGCATTAGGGTCTATAGAAGACGATTAAATTATAAACATTTAAAAAATTATTAATTTTTAAACAAATTTTAATTATTAATAATGTCTTGTCAATAATCAGGTTTCATATAAATAATGATTAAACAAATTCAATACATAGCATACATTGGGTGCTCCCTCCATGTAAAACGTATGAATTTTGAATTTATTTTTTAAAGTTTTGAAGCTATCAAAATTAATGAAATTGGTCTGATTCTCTAGATAAATACTTCAGGAGTATGCAAAATTTGAAAAAAAACTAAGGTATACCATTTTACGCGACTAATACCTTAATATATAATCGAAACTTATAATTCCATATTACAGATACTAGTTGAGAAATGGGTCCAATTGGATATTGGTCAAGAAGCAACACACATCCTCTCCTATCTAACAAGTCTTCCTGCAATACCGTCTAATGAATTTTTTAATGCTGTGAAAACAGTACAAGACATGGTTTCGAATACATTGACTGAAAAAACTACACATTTCGTTAACGAAATATCTAACATCATAATTTGGGGAACAAATTTAATTCCCATAACAGAAAGCGTCTATGAAAGATCGAATAATTTAATTGAATTGAATAACATCAAACTGAGAAATAAATTGCTGAATGCAAAATCATCCGAAGAATTCATAGGTATGAATTGTTAATGAATATTTTAATTAAAATTATTAATAATATTTTTAAACTTGCTATGGACCAAGAAGCATTGAATTAAAAGTAATAACCTACGTTAATATAATAGAAGAAAAGTTAATAGTTTTTAATATTATTAAATGTTAATTTGAGCTATAGGTTCTTGTTTAATTTAATTAGTTTCTAACTGACTTCTTCTTATTTGTTTTTTCTAAGATTCTCTAATATTTTTTTATGTGGTTGGCAAACAAATTATATTTAGGAGAAAAGTTTTGTTTAATATATTTTTATTAGGATTCCTGTCAGTTGCTATAATCTGAGTGCTGGCTGAGTATAGAAAAATTGTTCACAAGGCTCTTTGCCTACATTGCTTTTTTGACTTAAATTTGAAAAAAGTGATAAAAAAAGTTTATGAATGTTTGTAAATATAAATTTATTGAAAAAAATTAATATTTTACTTTTCAGTTATTAATTTTTTATTTTTATTAAATTTAATGAGGCCTCAATTTAATAATAATAATAATAATAATAATAATAATAATAATAATAGTGTCCCGCCAGCAGATCTTTTGGCGAGGGAAAGGGAAGAAATGTTTCTCTTTTCTAAAGAAAGCAGTTCCTTGAATGAGGAATTAAGACTAAGCAAGGGCCTGATCCGCAAAGAAGCGAGGCACAGGCTCATAGAAAGATGGCAAGAAAGAAGGGATGGTGAGGAAAAAGGTCGATGGACTTATCGCCTTATCCCGGCACTCGCGACCTGGATAAATAGGAAACACGGTCAGGTTTCCTATCATATGACTCAGGCGCTCACAGGTCACGGGTGTTTTAACTCGTACCTGTGTCGCTTTAAATTACGCGAGGACGAGGTGTGTGCATATTGCCAGTTCCCTGAGGACAACGCGGAGCACACCCTCTTCTCATGCAAGAAATGGGACTTGGAGAGGCAGGCCATGTTCGAAGGTGTAAACAGTCAAGTTACACCGGAGAACATGGTATCGCTGATGACCCAGTCAAAGGAGAATTGGCGGCAAGTCGAGAACTTCATAATCTCGGTTATGTCGAGGAAGGATCTCGACGGCCGCCAAAAAGTGTAATTTAAACAGCTTTTAATTTATTCGTTTGTTTTTTATTAATTTATTTTGTGATTTATTTGTCCTTATACAATTTTAATTTATTCCGTTTTATGTTTTTAATATTATATACGCGTTTATTATTTTTTTTTCTTTTTTTTATATCCGTTTGCAATTTTATCTTTTGACTGTTTACACTTGATTAAATTTTTTTTTTATTATTGTTGTGCTGTTAATTCCGCTTTTATATTGAAATAGTTTTAAATTTTTAACTATTAACGCAGGATAACCACAGAGAAAAGCAGAAAGTCGCATTAGCGACAGAGTCGGAGCGCCACCCTCGAAGGCTAAAGTCTTACGATAGTTCCGAGGGAGGGTAAAGGGCTCCAAAAGAAGGGTTACGGGTTTTAGTGGGTCGGGCTGGTAGTAGGTCGCCAGTTTGTTAAATTTATTATAACATTTATTTATTTTTCTTTTTTTTATATTTCTTTTTGTTTTTTTTATCATACCAACCCCACATAACCTTGGAGTGCGGAATCCAAGGTATCTGTAGGCAGATTTCCCAAAAGTCCCTAAGCAAAAAAAAAATAATAAATAATAATAATAATAATAATAATAATAATAATAATAATTAAACATTATTGTCTAATTTTATAAATAAAAAATTATTTAATCAAATTAAAATTATAAAAAAATTTAAACTTTAATCGCAACAATAATTTGGTTCTTATTAAAAAAACTATTATACTTCCTACTATGAATAAAAAATGATTAAAAAATTACCACTTGTAAAATGTTAAATGCAATAAGTAAAGTTACATTTAATTTTATTATTAAAAATTTAATTTATTTTAATTAATTATTTCTAACGTATTCCTATTTTTTTCTCATCTTTGATTCAATAATTCCAATCGTTAGGTACTAAAATATGAAAATCTAATGCAAACTTATCTACTACTTAACACCTATCAGAAAATAGTTTTAGTAGGCTAAAAATAGAATTTAACATTTCGCCCCAGCATGGGGCGAAAAGTTAAAAAAAACAAAATTTTCAATAAAGGACAAAACATGTATTTTATGCGAAAATATCAGAAACTTTTTTATTGAAAGTTGTAGGGGACAAGTTGCCCTACAATATTGATATATGGGTGATTAAATTTAAAATGTCATTTTCATGTCCTGCCCAAAAATCTAGAATACTAGTTCATATATAAAAGTTTTTGAAGTCAATTAATTTTCTTAATCACTCCTTCTACTTAAATTAATAATTCTTAGTCGCTAGAAATTGTCTGAAAAAATTTGTCAGAAGAATTAGAAGCAAAATGTCAGTGGTGTCCCCTGTCCGCACTTAAGAAATCAGAACTTTACCTAATAATAAAAATTGTTGATTCTCACATTTTTAGTACCAGAAAAATTATTTTGTACAACTAAGAGTCTATACTTTTATATAGTAATTGTGCTAGCAGAATAATTTTGATCCAGTGCTAGAAAAAAAATAAAAATCGCCTGTCCGTAAGTTTCATATTTTTAAGTAATTATCGTAAATTTTGAATATCATGTCTGATATTTAAATAACCTAGTCTAGATAATTGCCTTAATAAGCGTTAATAGTATTGGTGATATGTATAGCTTCTTAAAGAAAAAACATTACAACATTCTATCACATCTATAACTTATACGGTTAGTGGCAGAAAGCAAGTATCACTTTGTCGAGCACACCATGTCAGTGGTGTCCCAATAAAAAAATTGTTCATAATATTAATATTTTTTAAATATTATTGTATCTCTTTTTTAGGTATTACACGTATTTTAAAAACCGCACCGACTTTAACTTAAAAATAAAGTCTTTCTTTTTCGAAATTGAGAAATGAAGCAAAATGTCAGTGGTGTCCCCTCAAAATTCTGTTTCTTGCAGCTTATTATTTTATTTTTAATAAATTTGTTGTGTCCCTCAATGTTCATGTCTTTTTGGTCTTCAAAAGTATATTAATTTATGGCAGAACTCATTACAAATATTTTTTAAGTCATGTTGAAACATTCATTATTGTAATTTGAAATATTTTAACTTTTTAAAGTTGTAGGAATTTATTTGAGAAAAGAATAAACGAAAACAGAAAATTTCTTATCATTTCTGCCTATCGTTTTTCACCTGGTGAAAATTAAGATTTGCTTCCACCTGCTCGACCACTATTATTTTTGTCCATCATATATTCTAGTCAACCAAAATAGAGTATCGTTAAGTTCAAAATCCAACATCGAAAAATCAAAGTTAGTAGGATCAAAAATGACATTTTAAATTTAATCACCCATATAAATTTTTGCATCTAAGTGGATTATATTGTCTAAAAAAAATCATTCATACAAAATTTAACTTTTTGCCCCAGTCTTCCCTAACTAATTATTATTTTTTTCCGGTCAAATTTAATTCCTGGCTATTTACCGGTTTTTCAATTTTATATACCCAGATAGCCAGCGAACGCAGTACTGTACCAGGCATGTACCTTCGCACTGTAGCAGGTACTGTACTGGTATAACGTACAGATAATGGCGGAGAAACATTGTAAATTCATAACCTAAAATCCCAATTAGTTCGGCGTACTGGTATTGTACTTAATATTATACTTGTTAAACGTGTTATACTTTGGCAATTTCATAATTCTATCCGTATGACATTCCGTTATTATACTAGTACCGTGCTGGTATGTACATACCTTATTATTTCGAGCTAGTGCAATATGAGTACGATACCAATACGCTGTACTAAACAATAAAGATTAGTACGCTTGGCTATCTGGGTATATATATATATATATATATATATATATATATATATATATATATATATATATATATATATATATATAACAAAAGACATTTCATTGTTTAAAGTATTACATTTACAATAAACAATTTTCTTTATTTTGTAAACTCTCATTATTTGAATTGATTGCTATATACTACAACAAAATAATATATACTTTTATTTCTTAATATAGAAAAAATTACTGCTCTAGCGAAGAAGCAGACAGGTGCGGAAAAGGAAGTGAATTCCATGCTTGAAAATGCTATGAAGGATAGTGCTCAACGCCTCATTAACCATTTGTAAATAAATTACTTCATTTTTAGGGTTTCGTACACCATACATGTATTGACGGAACCTGAAATCACTCGTGTTTTCGTCCCAGGATAGACTATTCCCCTCCCCTTAACTACTACATATCTCAACTTGATCAACTTGATTCAGTACACAAATACATATTTTCACGTCTAGACTGTAGAAAAATCTTCACGCAAAACACACATATATACCGAATTTCAGCCATTTCCCAATATCCAGAAGTTAAGGTGGGGGAAATAGAATTATTTTTTTTTATTTTTTAGAAACAAATCGATTTTTTCCCATTTAAAAATAAAATACATATAAAATATAATTCTGCACTGTGAGAAAAAAAGCACAGAATCAGTACTGTGACAAACACCGGCCGTGTAAAATGCGTGTCAGTGCCCGTTCTTAATTTTGTTCAGTTGGTGTCATTCATAGTGACCGACAGATACTGTACTTCTAAACAGTAGCATTTGAAGTACAACATCTGTACCTCAAGCCAAAGTCAAAATCCATTTCACATTTTAGCACGACACCTATCACACAGTGGCACTGCTGCTGCGTTCAATTGGAGTACAGATGCTGAACTTTTCCATTTCAGAATCTGTGCTTTTCTTCTCTCAGTGTGTGTAAAATAAAGTATTGGAGATTAACATTATCTCCAACCAAGTACACTACAGATTTGCTCCTATCTACACTTAAGAACACAAGTATATGTATGTTGATATTTTATATTGATATTTATTACGTTTAATTGAGCTAATTGTTATATTTTTCTTGTAATCTGCATGCGAAAATATGTATGTATACCGAATTTCAGCTTAATA